GTGTTTCCTGTGCCACAGGGACCCTTCACTCTGGGCTGAAAATGTCACCTGGGTGGAGTATTCGCACAACTCCCTTCCCTCTGCAGCCACTGGCATGCCCCCGTTTGAATGTGTGTACGGTTACTCACCTCCCTTGTTCCCCAGTCTGGATCCAGAGATCCGAGTACCATTGGCTTTGGCCTTGGTCCGTCGGTGTCACCGGGCCTGGAGGCGGGCCCGCTTGGTCTTTCTCCGCTCTGTCTGGTCCTACGAGAAGTGGGCCAACATCCATCGGTCCCGGGCGCCCACATACCAACCCGGTCAGAAGGCCTGGCTGTCTGCCCGTGACCTTCCACTCCGGACAGAATGTCGCAAGCTGGCACCACGGTTTGTGGGTCCTTCCCCCATAACCAAGGTCATCAACCCCGCCGCTGTCCGGCTTCATTTGCCCCACTCCCTTCGAGTGTATCCAACCTTTCACGTGTCCCGGGTCAGGCCTGTTCGGTCCAGTCCTCTGGCCCCTTCTTCTGTGCCTCCCCCTCCTCCTCGCTTCGTTGACGGGGGTCCTGTCTATGCAGTCCGGCGTCTTCTCCATTCCCGGAAACGCGGCTGGGGGATCCAGTACCTGGTGGATCCAGTACCTGGTGGACTGGGAGGGTTACAGGCCTGAAGAAAGGTCCTGGGTCCCTTCCCGCCCCGTTGTGGACCCGTCCCTTATCCGGAATTTTCATCGAGCCCATCCCAACCAGCCTGGGGGGTCCGCCTGAACGGGGTTCTGTTGTGTTTCTGCCCTCCTCTCGGGCCCCCGCCTCCCTCCCTGCTGGGTTCTTCTCTGGTTTTGGTTGGCTGTATGGGAGCCAGCCTTTTGGGGGGGGAGGTTCTGTCACGCTCCTGCCCCTTTTGCTTCCTGTCATGCTTTTATTTTCACATTACTTCCTGTTTTGTTTCACCTCAGTTTTGGCCCTTTTATTTAATCATCATTAGTTCACCTGCTCCTTATTGTTTGCACCTGTTTTTTACTTCTATTTAGGCAGCGTCCTCTATGCCCTCCCAGATTCTGTTCGCCTGCAGTGTACTGACCTTCTGATTTTGTCCCCCTTGACCTCGATCTCCTGGCTATACCTGTTTACCGGCGCCAACCCCGGACTGTCTTATCGACCTGATTGATATCCTGGACTTTGTGTTAGTTGTTTTGCTTACAACAAGTAACGAACTTGTCGCTACCTCGGTTTGTCTGGTTTTCT